GGAGATCGAGACCATCCTGGCTAACACGGTGAAACCCCGTCTCTACTAAAAAATACAAAAAACTAGCCAGGCAAGGTGGCGGGCATCTGTGGTCCCAGCTACTCGGGAGGCTGAGGCAGGGGAATGGCGTAAACCCGGGAGGTGGAGTTTGCAGTGAGCTGAGATCCGGCCACTGCACTCCAGCCTGCGCGACAGAGCAAGACTCCGTCTCAAAAAAAAAAGAAAAAAATAAATAATAATAAGAAGAAACCAATTTTAAATCTGGTGAGTACTGATAAATGCATGCAGTCACGTAACCACTACAGGCATCAAGATAAAGAGTGTTCCCATTAGCCTCCAAAAGTCCCCTCCTGTCCCTTGGAGACACTATTTGGAGAGCAGTCAGTAAAAGGTGGTTGTTCAAGCTCTGGGAGTGAATCCCCATGGAGGGGATATGCAGAGTGAGAGCAATGAAGGGAAACAAACCTACAGGAAGGGGCTAGCAAAAGAAGGAGAGGCCACAGGGCGTTCACAGAGGCAACCAGGAAGTCAGGAAGGAAGACAGAGGTCCCATAAAACTGGACTGGCCAACAGTGACAAGTGCTTAGAGACAATAATAACTAACATACACTATCTTTTTTTTCTCTAAGTACATAGCATTGGTCAATCAGGCCAGAAGAGCCCTTGGAGTCAGTTGCAACAAAGTGACAAATACGCAGAAGATCCTGTGCAATGGGTGAGGTAACTGAAGGAGAAGAGAAAGAAGACAGGAATACCAAGAGGATGCTATAGAAAAGACGGGGATTCAACTGCAGCTAGAGGAAAGTGCCATGCGATTGTGGAAAGACAACCCTGAACCTAGAGTTAGGACCTGGACTCTTACCCCTTGCCTACCACTTACTGGCTGTGCAATCTTAGACAACTCTCTATTTACCAGGCCCTGTTTCCTTGTCTGTAAAATAAAGTGGCTGAGTCAGATGGTCTACACTGTTCCTTCCGTTTTGATTCTGTGGCACCCTATGCACATCTTGCAACATGGAGATCATGAGGATAATGGTAATGCTGGCAAGAGCAATTTCAAAGGACTGCTGGGGACAGTGTGAATTGAAATGTGAGTAAATAGTTGCTCAGAGAAACTTGACTATGAAGCACACTAGAAAAAGGAGGCAGAAGAACATGTGTTTCCAAAATCTACTGTAGAACTTATGAGACAACATTCTGAGGTCCAGATGGCGCAATCCCCTGAGTAGACAATGCCCACGAACTCCAGAAGAATCAACATTTATTCAACATATAGTAAATGTCAATAACTCTGCAAGGTGCTTCATGTGTGGAAAAAGCTAGAGGGCCAGTGTTCTTCCGGTCCCCAATTAATCTTACCATCTCTGGAATCATTTATTGTAGGTTACGTGTAAATTTGTATCACACTCAACCTTTGAGGAGCAAAGAAAAATGAATAGGTTCTCAAAATATTTTATTCAAAACAAAATCTTCATTGCAAATTTAGATTAATAATCTGAGGATTCTGGCACAAAGAAAACATTTTTCAAACTATCTCAAGAACAGAAAACCAAACACTGCATGTTCTCACTCATAGGTGGGAACTGAACAATGAGATCACTTGGACTCGGGAAGGAGAACATCACACACCGGGGCCTATTATGGGGAGGGGGAAGCGGGGAGGGATGGCATTGGGAGTTATACCTGATGTAAAGGACGAGTTGATGGGTGCTGACGAGTTGACGGGTGCAGCACACCAACATGGCACAAGTATACATATGTGACAAATCTGCACATTATGCACATGTACCCTAGAACTTAAAGTATAATAATAATAATAATAATAAAAAGAAAACATTTTTCACAAATTCAGAAAGCATTAGGCAAAAGAAACGGGATTCAAACTCAGATCTGTCTTCAATTTCAAATCTCTCCATTACATAATGGCTACCAACTATTATCCTTCTTTTAGTGTTGCATGCCTTGTCTTTCATCCATTTTTTGGATTGCAGGGTTTTATATAGTACTTATCCTTCCCAGATTTATATTTAAGTTTAAATCCCTTTTAATTATGTATCCTAGTCTCAATCAAATAATATTCTTTTTCGTCTTTGAAAGATATATATAAATGTTTACCAATATTCTATGTGATTCTAAGTCATGGTCCAGAAAAATCTAACCTTGTTCTTGACCACATCTGTGTATCCAGGTTTTATTATCTCCTGTGATTTTCTTTTCAGTTCTGGAGTCTCAAGCCTCAGCAAGAAAAAAAGATGAAAATACCACCTATGTTGCTAAGTCCTTCAATTCCTACTCAGGGCATCTAAGTCAATAGACATATATGTCACATTTCTTTTTGTGATAAAATTTATTCCTACATGATATACCAGTCTCTTGACAAAGACTTATATAATAACATTTCATTTTACCTAATCTGGAAAAAATGCACAAACTCCTCAAAATGAGAACTTACAGTAATTTAACTTGGCTAACAAAGAATGAACAAATGAGTATTTATTTTGTATTTTTCTTGCTGACGCATTATTTTTAGGCTTCTTTTTGTAGAACTTTTTGTACATTTAGATAATTTTCTATATTAGTCTAAATAATATGGTACATTTTTAATTGTAGAAGGTATCACATAAAATTTTATAACAAATAGTATGAGTTTAAAAATGGCGATAGTAATGATGATTAAAATGTTGAACAAATAGTGAACTTCTGAGGCACAAAGAAATATTTGAAACTAAATCCTAATATCTCGTCAATTAAGCATATCACTCTAAGCTCTTATTAATCAGGTTTCATAGGGAGGTACTCGACTACATAGTCATTTTTGACCCTTAGTCATTAGGTGCTTTAAAAATGCAATTGTAAAACTTAAAGTATTTTTTAAAATATTTGAAGTATTATCTTACGTAAGTGCAGAATAAAGATAGGCTTTCTAAATATCACTAAGATTTTAGGTGCCATTCAAGCCTTAATAATAAATTCTCCTCATCAAGTAACTCTAACCAACTTAATGTGTAAATACTATTTTTATGTCCTCATTTGTTTCTGAAATATTTCCTCTTAGACGGTATTACAATATATACCAATTTATAAATATCAGAAAAAACAAACCATGAACCGATAAGAAGACACAGGCATATGCCCTTTCATAAACAATCTACTAAGAAACAAGAGAGTCCAGCTATGCTGTATTTAAAATGCACAAGCCAACACCACAAACACACACACAGACACACAGACTAATGCAGTCATTTAAAATCACCTTTATACGCTTTGTAAATTGAACATGAATATCAATCTCTTGTAGGCATATGTTAAGTATTACAAAATAAAAACAAAGGAGAAGAGTCATTTTCTGCCTTAATGTTTTAAGAATTCTCATTCACAAACATTTAAAAACATGAGATATTTTGGGGACAACGGAGAACATTTAAATATGAACCTCTTACAGACGGTATTATGGGATTACTTAATTTCCTTTTTTAATGTAGTGAATTGCTTTAGCTAATGATGTCATAATTGAACAAAAAGAATACACTTATTCTTAGGAGATGGCATGATACCTGCAACCTTCTTTCAGGTGGCTCAAGTTGATTTTAAAAAGGGGTGCAGAGAGAGAGAAAATGTAACAAAACATTCTTATCTGGAGGACCTGGGATACCCAAACACAGGCACACATACGTGTTCGCTGTGTTGGTCCTTTAACTTTTCTATAGTTTAAAAAATTTCAAAGTAAAAACTTGGAAAACCCTCATTTCATATGCTTTTAACTACTAATATTTGTTTCAAAAGAAACAATTTGATCCCACCCATGAGCTATGAGCCGTCATCAAAGCTGCGTTCTTCCAGCTATCCTCAGCAGTTTGAAAGGATTTCATGTATTTAAATGAGCGAAAAGTGCAGACTTACTTGGGCAGGGGAGAAGGGGGAAAGTGGCTTCAAAGTTTGGGAGTTCGCCTGCCACACAGATGCCACATTTTGTGAGGCCAGGCTCTGTCTCAGTCTTCTCAGCCCTCCCCTGCCAGCTGACTGATGGCTATCTGCAGGGAGCCACAGGGGGGCCTCCACCAGGGTGTGAGTGCAGAGACAAGATAAGGGAAATGCACCAACCCCAAACTGAAGGGAGAAGGATCTCCCTGGGGTTTTCATTTGGATGGATCTCCAGATAGGGGCATGTAGGGAAGTGGAAAGAGCTATTAGAAACCAGGTGATAAAGCATAAAGAAATATTACAATGAGCCATCCTCTGCTCAGCTTCTGAGAAATGATGACTTATGAAATGATTTCATTGTAAATGAACTTGTTTCTTGTCATCGTGGCAAAGAAAGCAGAAAACTACTCTGAAACTAAGGAGAAAAAAAAACCCACAAATATTAATTTTGACACCCAGAGAGTAGATCTCAAACTCAGGCATAGTGTCTTTAAACAGAATAATGGGCATGTGGTGCTTAATAAATGTAGGGTAGGGGCTTTTTAAAAATCCTGTTGTGAGGAAGTATTTTCCTCACTGCCCAGAAGACAAAGAAAAACAGTGAGTGTTGACAACATGGTATTAAAAAGCCACCTCGACCCAATTTGTTATACCCAAATATATATATTCTTTTTAATTTACTCTAAGCCAGCATGTTGGCTCATAGCATCTTACTTTTGTGTCATTATCTCTCTGCCATACACACAAGTCATAGCTGGGGATTTCAACTCACGGTGAAGCTATGCTGAGATTCCAGATCTCAGTAGTGTTGGCATGAGCGCTGGTCTCTTCAGTCATAGAGAAGACAATATCCTAGGGAGACTGGAATTAGTCCTATTTTGCACCATTCAAGCCAAAATGCTGCTTATCAAGAAGCAAGTAATTGCTAGCTAATGGCTATGGGGGGAAAAAAACCATTGCATTTCAATCTAAGCATCTTTTGGCCCATGACAATAAATAAAGCTGTGGAGAGTGTAAACATAAAGTAGGGACCATTTCTTGAGGAGGTTAAATAGCAAACATTAAAAAAGGCGAGTTACCTCATCCGACTGGGAGGGACTGATTCTGGGCATTGGTGATACTTGGGGCGTTTTCAACTGTGTGCTGTTGCTGTCTGGCACGAGCTCTCGGTGGACGGTTTGGATGTGGTTCTGGAGTTCACTTTCAGACTCAAACTTAACGTTGCAGCTAGAGCAGCGCGTCTTCAGTCCCCCCACCTTGCCTTTCCCCTCGATGGCACTCAGATTCTCATTCTGGCCCAAGCCTGGTCTGTTCGTGCCGGGAGGGACGTTAATGCCTGGGCTGGCGCTCTTACTGAGATTCACGCAGCCAGCACACAGACCATATGGCAGGCCGTTGATGTCAAGTTTCACCAGATCTTGCTTGGAACGGAATTCTTTGAGGCAAGATGCGCACTTGTACAGTTTTTGGACGTGCTGGCCGCGCCCTGTGGTCTGAACTGCAGACCCATTCCCTGTCTTTTGCATGTGGAATGTCCCATGGATTTTGAGTTCCAAGGTGGAGGTCACTGTCTGCATGCACACCACACAGCGAAAGCCCGTCAGGGAATTCCTCAAGTCAGGGTGCATCTGGCAATGCTCTAAAAACTCCTCTTCACTCTGGAGAGGCATCTTGCAAATCCGGCAGTTTCCAGTATCAAGACTCTTACTATGCGTGACTTTGTGTTCAGTAAGAGTTAAAAGGGAGGGAAACCGCTCTCCACAAATAGGGCACATGTAGTGTTTCACAGGGCCTAAGTGGGTCTGCATATGTTCACGGAGGCCATTTTCGGAGAAGAAGGTTCGAGAGCACACATTGCACTTGTAATTCCCTTTAATGAGCTCAGCTTTCTTTTTCACGATGGCACTTTCTCCAGGTCTGATGTTGTGGTCTCGGAGCTGGTGATTCTGCAGCAAAGTTTCCATAGTGTAGGCTGCCCCACAAATGTCGCAGCCGTACATAGGCTCAGAGGTGTCGACGTCTTCTTCGCTCCCATCGTGACTGTTGTGGGACTCCTGGCTGTTGGTCAGCAAAGTCTGCAGCTCCACTTCCTCTTTCTGCACTTGCTCAGAAGCTCCATTTGTTCCACAGTTGGGTGTCTTGGTTTCGAACACACAATGTTTTTCTCGCAAGTGTTTTTCTAACAAAATGATCGCATGGAAGGCTTTGCTACAGAACTTGCAGTTGTACTTCTTACTGTGAGTGGTGATGTGGCATTGCAGCTCCACCTCGGTGCCAAAGGACTCACCGCAGAAAATGCACTTATGCACTTTCCCTTGGTTTTCCAGGTGGTTGTGTTTCACATGGAGCTGCAAGTCAGTCTCATTGCGGAAGTCCCAGTTGCAAGATGTGCACCTATAGACTTTCTTTTCGTTACTGTGCTTCACAGCCAAGTGGAGCTGAATGGAGACTTTCGAGTCAAAAACTTCCTGACAGAGGGTGCAGCGAAAGAAGACAAAGGTGTGCATGTCCAGCAGGTGTTTCTGAAGGTCATCCACTGATGTGAATTGCTTGTCACAACTTTCACAGATGTAATACGTTGAGGTGATCATAAAGTGAATGGTAACATGCTTCAGCAAGGATTCTTGGTTGGGGAATTCCTTGTTGCACTGAGGACAGGTCAATTTTGGAAGCACAGTGTCGAGATGAGTTTTTAGGTGAGTCTGAAAGCTGTCTAGGGATGTGTACTTAGCACCACACTGATTACAGATATATTCTCCAGCTGGACGTGCAGGTGCACCTCCTACTGCCTGCATCATCTTAAGAGATGTCTGCTCTATGGCCACAGGAGATAGGGGGCTTAAGGCCCTGGATTTCTTCCCATTGTGGATATAATTCAGGGCCAAGGGAATGTTTTTATGATTCTCTTTGATATGTTTGTTCAGCTTAAGAACGCTGTTGAATATTGGTGAATTAGTACAATAGGAACAAGAATAGACTTCTACTACTGGTTCTTTGGGAGTCCCAAGCACTGGAGACCCAAATCGGGAGCCACTGAGGTCGCAATGAACCTGTCTAATATGCTCTTCGAGGGAAGAGTCAGTGAGAAATCCCATATAGCAATGGGGACAAAAGAATGCATTACTATCTTTAGCTGCGGGATTTGCAAATCCATGAGAACATCGGATGTGTTCCTGAAGAGTGTTGAGGTCGTTGACAACTTCGGAACAGAAGTTACACTGGTAGACAATGGCAGGCATGGCAGAAACAATCAGACCTGGGTCCTGAGCTTCATGCACTTGCTTAAGATGTTCATTTAGGTTATAGAGTGAGGGCAGGACCTCCAAGCAATACTGACAAATATGGGCCTGTTCTGGCTTATCTAAGTGCATAGTTTTCAGGTGAATCTGCAGAACTGCAAGACTTGAAAATAATTGCTTGTTGCAGTAAATACAGCTGTAGGTAACTTTTGCTTGTTTACTCGAGGGACCAGTCATGTCAGGGGTTTGCTGAGCGGCCCTCTTCCTCCCTCGACTCTTTGGGATTGGCGGGGCAGCTTCCACCATGGTTGAGCTGTCCACTGAGAGGTTGGAATCTGGAGTCGTACTGGACACGGAGGTGTAGCCCACCGTGACCAGGGAAGGGCTGTTGCTGTGATTGCACGACTCCGGTTGCTGGTGACTGTCCATGTGGCTGTACAGTTCCTCAACTGTGTGGAAACTCTCAGAACAAATGCTGCATGAGTTCTTCTTCTCCCCGCCATGCACCTGCTCCATGTGGTTCATGAGGGAGGTCTCCTCTACGAAGAGCTCGTGGCAGTAGACACACTGGAGGGCCGCTCGGTCCTCGTTTGGGGAGCATTCGGGGTGGCACTCTGCAATGTGTTTTTGGAGGTCTTCTGGGAAGTCAAAGCCTTCCTCACACTGACTGCACTTCTGAGTGTCCTTCATCTTCCAGTCCTCCATCCTGGAACCAGACTGGGAGCCGTCCTTGTTCCTCTCGTGAACCTGCATGTGTCCGTGTAAGGAACTAGAGGACAGAAACCCACGGCGACAAATGGCACATTTATATGGCTTGTTGGAAGTGTGAGTCTTTAAGTGGATCTTCAAGTGATCACTTCTGGAAAACGCAGCATCACATTCACTGCAGTGGTACTTCTTGTCCCCGGTGTGGAGTTTTATGTGGCGATCTCGGCTGCGCTTGTGTTTGAACAGCCTACTGCAGTAGGTGCATTTGAAAGGCAGTTTGTCGCTGTGACTCTGCTCATGGTGCTTTAGGTAGCTGAGGCGGCTAAACGACTTGTCACAGAATTGACATGGGTATGGAAGCCCAGGGCCACCTTCTTCCTCTCCAAAATCGCAACCTTCTCCATGGCTAGGGGAAGTCTGATCCTTGCTGGAAGGTGAGGAAGCTGGCCAAGAGCAAGTCGGATCATCTTCAACATCCACTCCATCTGCAACAAGAAGCAATGACACATTTCATCTGACATGTTGAGATTCAAGAGTGAGCTTACCGTACCATTTCAACCAGCACACAGAGTTGGACCCTCTTGAAACTTTCAAGAAAAAAAACAACTGAAAGAGAGAATATTTGAGCGAGACATTTTCAAATCTGAGCCCAAAGCAGTTATTCTGCATTTACTTTTTGTTGAGTTGTAAAATATAAGAGGATATTAAATAGTTCTATGTCTAAATTACCCTTTTATTACTTTTTATCAGTCTTCCTTAGAAGCAAGGTATATATTACACATTGACAATTTTATTAAAATGCAGATTTTAATATATTTAATGTTTCTTTTGTATTCATTCTAAAATGATTTGCATATTATGTGAGCATCTGAAGAACCAAATGAAAAGAGGAAATATTACAGGAATGATTTAAAATTAATGCAGTCAACCCAGATGTCTAATATTTAATAAAAAATTCCCTCTGCATTTTGCTTGTTTTTATATAAAAAGGCAATTCTGAAGACCAAAATCTTTTATGGGGTTCTTATTGATACAGACCTTATTGCTTTCAGCAAAAAAATATTAAAAAGTAAGCACATGAAAGAAGACAGAAAACACAATAATAATTATGTCTTGTGTAATGAAAGACAACCAGGATTTCTTCAATAACTGAAATTCGAATACCATAGGCCAGAAAATGGATTATTAAATGTTAGAAGGGTACTGCTAGATATTACATGTAGCTAGGATCAGCTAGGATCAAGAAAAAATGAGAGTTTCACAAGGGCCAGATTTTAATAGTGTATTTTGTTTGGAAAGTTCAAGAGGTGGCCCACCATATCTTCCTTTTGCAAAAGCTTCAGCAGCCTGAACTTCCTTAGCTAAACAGGACCTGCACTTTGAGGTGAGCAGAGACAAAGCAACTTGTGAAAAACTGGAAACAGGAAAAGTGATAAATGATTATGGTAAATGCTGAAAGATTTATGAGTGACAAAAAGAAGACAAACAAGACTGAGAGCCAGATATAAAGTTAGCAAGTTATCCATAAAGGAACGTTACCTTCTATTAGATGATTTTAAAAACTATTTTCTTAGCAAATGTGCACTGTTATTTCTGTTGCCTTCTTGATATCCAAGTGGAAAATAAGACCATCTCAAAACAGGTTGTGAAACCTCTTTTCTTTTGCTTTTCACAACCTATTATTCACGATCAGAAGAAATTTTAAAAGCTTTCCACTCTCCAAAGGAGCACGTTTTTTCAAAAAAACATACAAGTAAAGACCATGGAGTGGATCTGGTGGGGATAGTGTTTCAGTTAGAATAAGAGGCTCAATTAGAGCATTATTAGAATATTCTAATGGTATTCAATTAGAGTATGATCAAATACGTTTTTAAATTCTTCAAAGCTGAAGTTCACTAGCAAGCTAAATGATGAACATAAAAGTAGAAACTGGTAAGCATTATGTAAACGAATTCCATGTCTGTTTTCTTTAAGGTAACAAGATTTTACTAGATTGTCAGCCTCTTCCTTATCCACAGGAAACAGATGAGGATCATTCCTTTCCTGCATCTAGAAACTGATGACAACACCATCTCACTATCAATGCCAGATGGCAACCCTCTCACTCTGAGAAAACAACCAAACACCATTCCTGGATCCCTGCCCACTGCAACAAAGCGTCGCCGTACAAGTTGAAAACCGCACGATTTTGCATCCTCATTTATATGACTCTATAACCCAACATGTTTCCAGCATAAGAAAGGGTCTGATGGATGTGGATGTGATTTCTACTTAAAGTGAATACACCAGGAACATATGCAGATAAACTCAACTCACCACTCAACATACAAAAAAAAATTTTTAACTAAAAGCAAAAAAACTCTATAATGATCTAGTTTTCCCCTTAAAAAAGTGTTGTCACCTAAAGCTAATATACCTGAAACAAATCAAAGTTTCAAATATTTACCCTAATTGATGAAAAAAAGAAAGGCTATCTATTAAATGTGCTCAACATTCTAGGTAAAATCTACCACATTTCACATTTATCTTTTAGGCTTAAATCCTGCTATTTCATTTTTTAAAATATTTTCAAACACATCTTCTCATTTATACATTTGGGGAAAACAGTGAATCAGAATTTGTAATGCATCTAGCCTAGAAGGATGTAACTACTGAGCCTGAAAATTGAGCAAGTGAATTTATTATTAAATTGCAGACTGTGTCCAGGTATGATATATTTTTATACAAATACATAAAGAATTATAGAGCAATGGACCATTATACAAATTATGCAATCCCTAACACCATGCTTAAATCAGCTTCTTGTCTGTGGTCCATGCCTGACTATATCTATTATATAACTGTTCTCCTAAGCTTGTAAATTTCAATGACATGTCAACTGAACTGAAGGTTAGGATCAAGGTTTTAACCAGGATTCAAGAGAGCTAGAAACCTTTTCCTTCTCTCCAGTCCCCATTACATGTCTTTGTAAAGGAAATTACACAAAACCCTCTGTAGAAGCCATAAGGCTTGGGAATCGAGCGGAAGAAAAGAGTTTGAGCAAGGAATGATATTTTTAGAAAAATAAAGTTTCCCTGAAAGGCTGATTTCTGTTTTAAAATATAAAATGTAAAACTCTCATTTGCCAGCACTGTAAATGGATCGTATTCTCCCAAGAACACACAGGGACTCACTACTCCCAGAGGGTTGGTCCATGCTCTTCAGGTATCAGACTCCTCCAAGACTTTTGTGGTGATGGTCTCCCTGCCAGCATACTCTGAGGTCTACCTAAGTCTTAGAGAGTTATCCATCCCCATTAACTTAGGCTTTTTGGTAGCCACAGCGCAAACTATGCTTAAATGGTGAATATAGGTTTAAACGATGTCAATTTCTTTTTGCACGTGGAAGAAACTGTAGAGGATTCTTTCAACTCAGGTTCCTGAATCAACTTTAACTTTTTTTCCCCTCGGCACTAAGTGCTACTTGCAGGGACTGTCTTTCTGTGTGATGGCAAGTTTTCTGCATTTCAATGTGAAATACTTAACATGTCCATGTTAAATTTTAATTTTTGAAACCAGTCACTTCACTTGAGCTGACTCTCCGAGAGCGGTAGCTCTTACTGCCGAAAAAGCTTTGCTGGAAACCAGCTCGGTGGCCTAAAAAGTCTATTTAAAGATGCAAATGTGTGTGCATGGTTAGTGCAGATGTTTTTCTACAGCAACTGTACTTGCTGAGTTTCACCATTTCCATAAAGCACATTAAAACAAGTGTGTGAACACTCCGAGATGAAAGTCTCCAACACTCCTGAGACTTTCAGTGGAAAGTAGAGCCGCCTGACTTTTCTCCAAGCAGACAGGAATGCCCATGATTCAGCAGCCTGAGTAAATAAAAGAGGTCCTTATTTCCTAATTTCGCTGGCTGGCCACACTGCAGCAGCCTCTGTGTTTCTGCCAAAGGGGATACAGAACTGGAACTACACCCAGCCGCTGAAGGCCTGTCTTTGTTAGCCAGCCAAGCTTTCCGGACCATCTTCTGGCAGCAGAACGGCCATATCCTGCAAGCAAGACCTCCATCTCAGGCTCGGCGCTTCTCTAGTCTGCCTAAAAGGACGAAACAACAGATTTTGCTGGGTCTGTGTTAGAGGAGGACAGCTGGAAACTCAGTTAGCAGCAGAGTTAACACCTGTTCAGGCATATTTATGGGGGAAAGTGCTCACTAACAGAAAAGTGAAGTCATACTAGAAGGAGTGATTCCATAGAAAAAAGGCACCAGAACACAGAGTACCTTTGTGACGTGAGCCATCAGCCCCTCGTGTGCCAACCTGGGGAGGAGGAAGCAGAGACTGGACGTGATTTGATCCCAGCTCCTGCTGATGGACAGACAAGCACACAAATGAGGGTCTGACAGTCTCAGTTTACGGCTTGCCATTGTGGAAGAGAAATGCTGAGGGTTCTGGCCACTCGCTGGTGTTCAAGACTAATCAAATTAGCCAGAAATTAAAAAATAAGATCAAAGAGACAGGAAGAGAATACGTGCAGGAGGGTTAGACTAATGTCAATGCTTACTTTGTTTATGATTAAGCAGGTCTTAATTTGTGTAGGACATACACTTCCTGAGGACAGGGACCAAGCCTTTCAGAAGATTGATTCCAACACTAGGGGCAATCTGAAATTATTCAAGAGAAACTAATGTAAGAAAGCAGATGAAAATACTTTCTCTGAAGTTATGGAAACTTCTGATAATGTTCTTCATAAGGCCTGGCCTGCAAGAAATTGCCTTAACAATATCCTTTTGCTACCTGAGCTTGTTCATTGCAACAGCAGAGTACCCTCTTAACTGCCCATCGGGGACTCAGTATCATGTGTGCTAGTGCCACACAGCAAGATTTCCTTAACAGGGACAGGATTTACATCAATGGTTACTTTTCAAGTGAGGAGAAGTAGTACAAATACTGATGGGTCTGGTACTTGTGTAGGAACTAAAAGTCAAGAGTCTGGAGTTTTATTTCTAGCTTCATAACTGACTTAGAGAGTGACCTGGCCAAGTCATTTAATCTGCCCCTACCCAGGTATTTCACCTGCAATATGAAGATAATAATTCTTGCTACTTACCCTCTGGGGTGTTACAAAGATTAGTGAATGTTTCTAGGGCACCTTATCATGGCTGGAAGAAAAGCTGCATATGTAAACAAAAAGATTTATATGTGTTGCATGTATTTCTGTTTCCATGTGTAAGCTTCTATGAGTATAGTATAAACATATTTTAATATTTTCTTTCCTTTAATGCAATCTCTGGAATATTAGTTTTAAGGACTGACTCAATGGCAATCTACAGTGCCTTTAGCGTTCACAGTTGTATATGCAGCTAGCAAGAAAATAAAAGATAATCAGTTGGTGATATCTAAATGTTAATGGACCATAAATCCATGCTTACTATGTTCCAAGCCTTAAATTATCAAACACGGGATAAAATATTGGGTCTTTACAGGCAGGTAACCTTGGTACAA